GTATGTTTGTATCTATGTATGTAAATATGTATGAGTGTATGTATGTATGTATGTAAGTATGTATGTATTTATGTATATATGCATTTGTATATTTTATATATATATATATATATATATACACACACACACACACATATATATATATATGTATATATATATATGTGTGTGTATTCATATATATATACTCATAATGATCAAGTTGTGCTGTACGACATACATCTGGTCATCTCATAGGACGGTCAAGTATTTTCGTAAGCTCTAAAGTTAGGATACAGAATTCTATAGCGCACGCCACCCAATACAGGTTGCGACATTCACCACATCAGAGCGAGATATATACTTCCCTAAGAATAGGCAGAATACAAGCCTTCTGGCGTATCAAGAAGCATTAACAATACTTTGTGCAGACACCTACATTCGCATCCGGCGCTGACTAGGTATCGATTGAGCCAGTGGCAGGGGTGCCATATCCTCCCATTCATCATCGTCGTTGTTATATATTGATTCGTACGCAATAACTTTCTCTTTCTTCGCCTACAATAGTGGATTATTAGGGTAGTAGATGTCATTCTAGAAGCTAACTTACGCATGACAGTATCAATGTCGCAATCAGGTACGGTTTGTCAGGAATGGCAATATTTGTGACAAGCTGTAGATCTAGTCAAACCCACGTGATGTTTCAACGCTTAGATAGACCTGCGGGCCAGTTGTTGAACCCTATTTTTCACAACCTCAAGTCTTAATTTTGGTGCTTCAGCTAAGTCTATGCCTTCATCAATTCTGCATATATCTGGTCATAGTTATCCTACATAGAAACTTGGAATAAAGAAGCATTTATCGAGCATGATACAAGCATCCACTGGCAGTAAATATCAGCAAACTCGGTCTTTTAAATATACACATCCAATATATTTCCCGTAGTGGATAGAATGCAAGTTGATCACAATTCAATACATACAACAATGGTTGGACGAAACAGTTGGCTCTTAACACACTCAACTCAGCCCTGCATAAAGATTCATTCCTTGTATTCCAAATCACACGGCGTGAAAATGCGTCTCAGCGAGCAAGCCACGGTGGTGTATAGAGTTCAAGTACACAGTACGGCTCCAACACACATTGCGCGTTGCCATAGAATACAGGACACATATATACACACGCGCATGCCATCCCCCGGATAATTTGTCTGTACACCGCAAATACACAACAAAGTCGTATCCAAACCTCAGCCTGTTGCAGGGCTAGTCTGGTCTTGTTAGGTGGAGATATCTCGGCCATGGAAGCGGATGCATTGGCTTTCAGTTTATTGTAATTTTTGGTTGCACTCGGACCGAAGTGTGTGGATTTGGCTTGCATTTTCTGCTTCTGAGGTGACCGTGGTATTTTAGGGGTTGTGCTGGCAGCTATAGAAGGAAAGAAGTCATTATTTGCGTGTTAGTCCTCTTCTCCAGTCGAGCTGATTTAAACCTGGAATTCATTTAACGGGAATAAAAAATTGAGTGTTAGTAAGTACAAGCAACAACGCTCGTGGTCAGGTAGGCACCTCTCTCGTTACCCATACAAATAGATGATGTATCTCACAACTTGGTCACGATAACTGGAGAACAGTACAAAAACAACAGTAAAAACCGCCCCCACTGTGATCAGGGGCCCAGTCATCCCCGGTAATTTTGTCAAGGTGTGGCGACGAGAAGATTCTGAGCGCATACATAAGTGTTGTTACAACTGATAGTGTACTATCGATTAGGTCGACAAACTATACCAGCGTCAACGAGCATGGGCATCGACGCAAGGGTTGTGGTGCCACTATCAGCTGGGATGTTACTCTGATTGCGGGATTTGGCTGCATTGATCTGCGCTTGAGTTTGGAATCGCCTCTGTGTCGTTCCTGTGCAGCAAGGCATAGTTAAGCGTCTGTTAATGATTGTAGAACCACGAAACTTGCTATTTCGAAAATAGAGTGGCAGCCAGTCAATGGTAGTCGGGCCATCGACCTAGTCAATTGAAACATGCTCTCGTGGTGTGCGAATAATCAGTTAGGTCGACAAACTATATCAGTGTCAGTGAGCATGGGCATCGACGCATGGGTTGTGGTACCACTATCAGCTGGGATGTTACTCTGATTGCGAACTTTGGCTGAATTGATCTGTGCCTGTGATTGGAATCGCCTCTGTGTCGTTTCTGTGCAGCAAGGCATAGTTAAACGTCTGTTAATGATTGTAGAACCACGAAAGTTGCTAATTCGAAAATAGAGTGGCAGCCAGTCAATGGTAGTCGGGCCGCCGACGTAGTCAATTGAAATATGCATTCGTGGTGTGCGTACTATCGATTAGGTCGACAAGCCATACCAGTGTCAGTGAGCATGGGCATCGACTCATGGGTTGTGGTGGCACTATCAGCTGGGATGCTACTCTGGTTGCGGGCTTTGGCTGCATTGATCTGCGTCTGTGTTTGGAATGGCCCCTGTGCCGTTTCTGTGTAGTATGGTATAGTATTGAAACGTCTGTTAATGATTGTAGAACCGCGAAACCTGCTAATTCGAAAATAGAGTGGCAGTTAGTCAATGGAGGTCGAAACTATATCAGCAGCGTGTGGAGAGGGGGAGCATACCATTGTGATTGGTGACTATGCAAGCAATGCTCCAGGTGGCCAATATGCCCCAATATGGCCAATTTGGTATCCACAAGCCCTTCAGCCGTACATTCAACCGGAATTCTAAGAACCCTTCCTATCAGACTACCTCACACAAACATCAACACCCCATGACATGACAAACTTCCCGGCCTAAAATGGGCGCCTATGTGTTCTAACTACCTTGTGTTCCACTCGCAGAAGACCTCTCACCCGCATCTGACCACTGCTTGCGTGCCTTGGCGGCGTTGGTCTTTGCGGCGGTTTTCAGTACAACCAGAGTGATCTGCAGTACGGGCATTGCATGGGTCAGTATAAAGTAATTCATACCTGTGCGCTTCAGTAGGCGTGCATGTAATTGCAATATAATACTACAATATAAGGTAGAGCATATCTGTGCTCTATTGGTTTCCGTACCAGTTTATAGTACTCTACCCCTTGTGCACACAGACCCATGGATGGAGATTACAAGGTTGCCCAGGATAGCAAATGTGGTGGTGCACATTTGGTATGTTTCAGTGTGTGGATCTGTTACAAGCAATATTGTGCAAACCTCACGTGCAGAAACAGTTTTAAACCTGTTCTCTAGTCAAAGCCTCGTCGTACCTCCGCACAAGCGGGTAAGTGATTAACTAGCATGACACATTCGAGTAAAGCTGGCAAAAAAGGTTGTGATCACGGAGATCACACAAAGCGCCTAGTGCATTAAATATGTTAACTACATCTTTGTTTCGAGTACCGTCATACATGCGTACCCAATTATCGAAACGCCCACGACTTGCATTGATAGCACACGTACTAAGGGGATCCAGGGGCACCGAAATAATATTTACTCATCTATCACTCACTTATAATCGATAGGGACTATATTAGAGACACTTACTTTGCTGGGCAGGCTTTGCTTGGGCGCTAAAGGCGTTGAAAAGCTCGGGGGCACTGCGGACGGTCGGTTCCACGATGTTTTTTGGTTTACATGATCAATGTAGTACCTGTATACAAAAGGTAGGATTGAAGGTTTCGAATTCATCATATCGATACACTATGTGGCAATATACCTCGGCATTACACCTTACTGTGGTATAATGAGATCTCTACGCCTTCAGGGCACCAAATGCGTATACAGCATACATAGATGATTGATAATTATTTCAATCATATGTAATCTAAAAAGAATTGTCTTGTCTCCAATTCCATAAAACGAAGTAAAAAAGAGTACATTCTACCCCTCTCCCCTTCCCCTCCCACGTCAGTCTCATAACGAGCAGTCAGGAAAGCCCTCAACCAGGGAAACAAATCAGGCTGGAAAACAAACATAAAAAATCGAACAACCGCAAGGCAGATATGAAAATAGAATACCATAACACATGAACGATTCTCCAGTACCACCATACAACGCATACG